AGTCTTTGAAAATGTAATCAGCATTACGAAACGCGTTCAGGTGTCAGACAATTAAAAAATGAATTTTGGAGAATTGATATTTTTATTACCTCCGACAGTGAAGAAAAGCATAAGAAATATTGAGAAAATTCGTGATAGAATTATTAATCTTACCTTTTCGGTCATATTCAACAATATATATATATATATACATATATATATATATATATATATATATATATATATATATATATATATATATATATATATATATATATATGTGTGTGTATATCACGAAAATAAACACGTGATTAAGAATGTGACAATGTCAGACCACGGAGGAAAAATGAAACAGGAAATTTCCTTAAGTACTTTCGTATATTAAATACATCTTCAGAAGGACCTTCTGAAGATGTATTTAATATACGAAAGTACTTAAGGAAATTTCCTGTTTCATTTTTCCTCCGTGGTCTGACATTGTCATATATATATATATATATATATATATATATATATATATATATATATATATATATATATATATATATATATATATATATATATACATGTATATATATACACACACACACGCACACGTGTGTGTGTGTGTGTATGTGTGTGTGTGTGTGTGTGTGTGTGTGTGTGTGTGTGTGTGTGTGTGTGTGTGTGTGTGTGTGTGTGTGTGTGTGTAAGAACCACAACCTGTAGTAGACATTCTCCGGGTGAATTAGCTCCATCATGCCTCAAAAACTGGTCGAACGATCCTTACCTTTTGCGTGTGATAGAAAGTATAATATGTGTTGTGTAAGGGAGCGGGCCGGGCCAGAGGAGCAGCTCCTAATGTGTCACTACCTAGTAGAGTCTCAAGTTGGTGTTGTTTGTATTATGTTGCTCACCACTCTTGTCCCTCATGCTGCTGGTGCGTGACACCCTACATGCCACCACTACTAGTATATGTCTCACCAGTATATGTACCACCATTGTCTGTATGGTCAGCGTACGTATGACCTGGGCACGTATACCCAGAATACATGTGACCCGTGTAATTATGACCAGGAGTACATATGGGGTCTGGTGGGTTAGTGGACAGCGTTTGGGTACTCGTAATCCTATGACCCGGGGATCGATCCCCGGCGATGGTGGAAACAAATGGACAGTGTTTCACACTGATGCCCTGTTCACCTAGCAGTAAATAGGTACCTAGGCATTAGACAGCTGTTACGGGCTGCTTCCTGTGTGTGTGTGTGTGTGTGTACTTACCTAGTTGTACTTACGTAGTTGTGCTTGCGGGGGTTGAACTCTGGCTCTTTCGTCCCGCCTCTCAACTGTCAATCAACTAATGTACAGGTTCCTGAGCCTACTTGGCTCTATCATATCTACACTTAAAGCTGTATGGAGTCTGCCTCCACCACATCACTTCCTAATGCATTCCATTTGTCTACTACTCTGACACTGAAAGAATTCTTTCTAACGTCACTATGGTTCATTTGGGCACTCAATTTCCACCTGTGTCCCCTAGTGCGTGTGGCCCTTGTGTTAAATAGTCTACCTTTATCTACCCTATCAATTCCTCTGAGAATCTTGTATGTGGTGATCGTGTCCCCTCTAACTCTTCTGTCTCCCAGTAACGTGAGGTTTAATTCCCGCAATCTCTCCTCGTAGCTCATACCTCTCAGTTCGGGTACTAGTCTGGTGGCAAACCTTTGAACCTTTTCCAGTTTAGTCTTATACTTGGCTAGATAAGGACCCCATGCTGGAGCCGCATACTCCAGGATTGGTCTGACATATGTGGTATACAAAGTTCTGAAAGATTCCTTACACAAGTTTCTAAATGCCATTCTTATGTTAGCCAACCTGGTATATGCCGCTGATGTTATCCTCTTGATATGGGCTTCAGGGGACAGGTCTGGCGTGATATCAACCCCCAGGTCTTTCTCTCTGACTCTTGAAGTATTTCATCTCCCAAATGATACCTTGTACCTGTGTGTGTGTGTGTGTGTGTGTGTGTGTGTGTGTGTGTGTGTGTGTGTGTGTGTGTGTGTGTGTGTGTGTGTGTGTGTGTGTGTGGAAAAAAAAATATTGATTGATAGGCAGTTGAGAGGCGGGCCGAAAGAGCAAAGCTCAACCCCGCAAGCACAACTAGGTGGATACATATGTGACCAGGAAAACATATGCCCAGCGGTACATATGACCAACGGTACATATGACCAACGATACATATGACCAACGATACATATGACCAGCGGTACATATGACCAGCAGTACATATGACCAGGGTATATATATATATATATATATATATATATATATATATATATATATATATATATATATATATATATATATATATATATATATATATGACATCAACTGTAGTCTATGAGAACATTCATTTTCCTTAGAAGCGCGAGAAGCAAGGATGAAGTAGAAGGACTACTTCTTCAAGGCTTCAGTAGTCCAGCACTATAATACGCCTCTAGCAACGAGAAAGTGAAATGGTGGGTACAGGAGCCCGTGAGAGTGGGTGGGGTGGAGTGCCCTGGATTATGTGTAGCAGAGGTGGGTCTTGACTTTCACTGTCGGGGCGGGAGGGGTCTCCTCTCCCTAGGGTGTCGGGTGGGGGGCCAGGGAAGCCCTTACCTCTTACAAGACCTCCTTCAGTCATTGGCACGGTCCGCCTGGATTCCCCAGAGGCATGTTGAGGCTCTGGTTGTGATGCTGTAGTGTTGTCTAGTGTGGTTGTGGTTACGTGTTGTTGTCTGGTGGTGGTTGTGGTCACGTGTTGTTGTTGTCTGGTGGTGGTTGTGGTCACGTGTTGTTGTTGTCTGTTGTTGGTTGTGGTCACGTCTTGTTGGTTCTCTCTGAGGCGATTGGTCCTGGGTTCGACTCCATGGCTGGGAATCGAATGCCTAACGTATGGAATATGTTAGGCATTCATGGCTTATTACACCTGATATGCCTGTTCACCTAGTATTAAATAGATGCATGTAACGGAGTTTGATTCTATACCTATTGTGGCTAGGTGTTTATTATGTATTTTCATATATATATATATATATATATATATATATATATATATATATATATATATATATATATATATATATATATATAGTATAAGTATAAATGTATTTTATGTGTAAACTATATATATATATATATATATATATATATATATATATATATATGTGTGTGTGTGTGTGTTGTTAAATATGACCAAAAAGGTAAGATTAATAATTCTAACACAAATTTTCTTAATATTTCTCATGTTTCTTTTCACTGTCGATGGTAATTGAAAAATCAGTTCTCCAAAATTCATTTTTATTTCTAGGCTGACGCGACGCTTGAACGCGTTTCGTTATAACTTATTACATTTACATTGTAAATATGTTTACATTGATTGCTGGATTGACCCAGCAATCGACAGCCAATTAATGCACAACTATATTCTACCCACTTCAAGACTCCGAACCAATATAGAAGCATCAAGAGGAAGTAGTGATGCTATGGGCCAATAGGCCTTCTGCAGTTACTTCCATTCTTATGTTTTTATACCCATTGGTTCGTGTTCTGGCTTGTGTAAATGTCAATCACCTCACCCAAAACTTTTATATCACCTCACCCAAATGGGAGTATAAGTATGTATGGATGGATGTGTTTACTGGTTACAGCTGTGTGTGTAAACTAAAGTCTTTGAAAATGTAATAAGTTATTACGAAACACGTTCAAGTGTCGCGTCAGACTAAAAATAAAAATGAATTTTGGAGAACTGATTTTTCAATATATATATATATATATATATATATATATATATATATATATATATATATATATATATATATATATATATATATATATATACGATTATAAGTATAAATGTATTTTATGTGTAAACTAAGTCTTTGAAAATGTAATAAGCATTACGAAACGCGTTCAGGCGTCAGACCAGAAATAAAGAATGAATTTTGGAGAGTTAATTTATCCTCGACAGTGAAGAAGATCGTAAGAAATATTGAGAAGATTCGTGTTAGAAGTGTTAGAATTATTAATCTTACCCTTTCGGTCATATTCAACAACATATATATACAAGAAAGACTCCTACCAAATATATATATATATATATATATATATATATATATATATATATATATATATATATATATATATATATATATATATCCCAAGGTATTGAGTGCTTTTGTTTTGGTCACGTGTGTATTGTCAACTGTTATATATAAATATATTATATATATATATATATATATATATATATATATATATATATATATATATATATATATATATATATATATATGACCAGCGGGTCATATATAATATGACCCGCTGGTCATATTATATTATATTATAATTATATTATTTATTTTTATATTATATTATTTATTTATTATTTATATATGCCTCTATATGTAAAAACCTGTGTCAGATGTGTTGATATGTTCAGAGATGATGTGAACAGGTGTGTAGATATAGTCAGATGTGTTATAGGCTATGTATGTTTATCTGCATGTGTGTGTGTGTGAATGTTGCATTTAGGTGTTTGTCAAGTACAGGTATATATGTTAGGCACAGTTATATATATGCTAGATATAGCTATATATGCTTGGTACATGTGTATGAGCTGTGTATAGGTATATATGCTAGGGACAGATTTATATAAAGCACGTGTAGATGTATATACTAGGCGCATGCAGGTATATATGTTGGACACAAGTGCATATACTAGGCACAGGCATATATCCTGGGTACAATTATATATGCTAGGCACGTGTATATGCTAAGGACAAGTATACATGCTAACCACAGGCACATATATGCTCAGTAGAAGCATATCTGCTAACCACAGCCACATATATATGCTCAGCAGAAGCATATCTGCTAACCACAGCCACATATATATGCTCAGCAGAAGCATATCTGCTAACCACAGGTATATACCGTCCTCCGCTCACCACATCAACACATGAGACAGGGGGGGGGGCAAGGATAATGAAATTCTTGTCTACAACAGAAGATGGTATATTTCTAGAGCGAAATAATGAGAGAGAAAAATAACATTTTGGGTCTGACTAGACACATCGCATACGAGTGCAGATCCCCATTTACATAAAAAATAAATATTATTATATGTTTGAGCCACAGGTGTAGCGGAAGAAAATACCGGTGAGGCCTCGTACCACTGGAGAGAAGAGCAGCGGTGATACAGGCACTGTAGTGTGGGGGGTACAGGCGCTGTGTGGGTTGTTACAGGCGCTGTAGTTGTGGTTCAGGGGGGGGGGTATTGTTTGTGAGGTGGTCCCCAGCGGCTCTAAGGCGCACCATACAGCCCTGAGGGCTTGGAAACGCCGCCGCTTACTCCAAATCCGCCTCCAACGCCGCCTCCAAAGCCACCTCCAAAGCCGCCTCCTAAGCCATCCTCAGCACTGAAGTCATCATCTCCAAATCCTCCTCCAACACCAACACCGCCTCCAAAGCCACCTCCCACACCAACGCCGCCGCCAAAGCCACCTCCCACGCCAACGCCGCCTCCAAAGCCACCTCCCACACCAACGCCGCCTCCAAAGCCACCTCCCACACCAACGCCGCCTCCAACGACCTGGCCTCCAGCATGTGCGGCGGAGTTGAGAGCTGACTGAAGATCAACACCTCCGGGCAGGGTGGGGTTCTCACCCTCGCCATAGTTGACGAAGTACACCTCGGGACTCTTGGGTGGTGGCGCGGGCACTTCGATGACCTTCTGGCCCAGATTAGGCTGCTTCTTGCTGAGCACATACACCACGTTGCTGACGCGAGGAGGTCCAACCACGATGGGCTCAGGCTGCAGCGGCTGCTCAGGCGCCCGGATGAAGAGGATGTTGCTGATCACTTCAGGTTGTGGGATGATGGGTGGAGGGCCCTTGATGATTGGCTGTTCAGGCGCGGTGTAGACATAGACTTGGCGGGTGACCTTGGGAATGGCGCACGAGCCGTCGATGTTAAGGATTTCGCCGTTCTTGCAGCCGCCAATGGGGAAGCCTGGGCCTACTGGCCGGTTTAGGTTGTAGCCCTGAGGAGCGGCAGAAGCCACAGCTACCAGGAGGGACACGCAGATCTGCAACAACACCAAAAGTCAAAGAGTTAATATCGATGGACTGGTATGTGTAACTGTCTTTTTTTTAATTGGTAATGTTAATGCGTATTGCTACATTAACTGGTGCAGAGTTAGTGCATGATTGGTAACACATTAACTGGTGCAGAGTTAACACATGTAAACAGAAGATGAAATGGTGATATGATCACCACATACAAAATAGTGACAGGAATATACAAAATCGTGAGGGATTAATTTATAAAACCCGCAACATCGGGAAATAAAGAGTTTATAAATTATAATAATGCAATCAAAGGTGTCGTAAAAACGTAGGAATATTATAGGTTGCAAAGAGAATGATAGACGGCTGTGATAATTTAATGAAAGGGTAACTTCAGCACCAACAGGAGCAGGTAAAGCTGATATAACACAGTGTAGAGCACGCTGGCCTCAACAGGCTCCGGCTCTCGTGCACACTGCTCTACAGAATAGTGCAACACCAAAACAGAATTCACAGCAAATCATTAAAATGTTGTCCTCTCTAATAAATCTATTATAATTCTACTATATAATGAGGCAGTTCAGGCAAGAAACGGAAAGTTAGACGAACTGCACACTATTAGTGGCATCAGCACCTGCCACTGTCCCACATAAGAGGCTCCTACTCAAGGAAAAAAAACCAGACCAGAATATCCGGCTGAGAATTAGATTATGTGGCAAACTACCTAACAAATTGGAAACGGATAATTACAGTAAAATGAGAAAATCGGATTGTGAAAATGTCATTATCTCAGGAGGATCAGGTCCTGGACCTTAGTAAACATCAAACGCGTGAGTCTGAGGAATTTAACTATGTTCTGCCTCTACTGATGACGTAATTATGATGAGAATCAGGATTTGCGAGGAACACGAAGATAGGCCGCATGTGCTTAGCTGGTAGTCATAAGGACAGCCTTCAAGACCGGAAACAAGGAGGCTTTTAGATCGGTGATGTGTGAGGCTTGTATACGACCAGCGCTGCAGCACTCACCGGAGGCCAAGAAAGAACAGAAGCTTGAACAAATCCACAAGGGCCGTGACGAGGATTCGAACCTGCGCCCAGAAGGTTCGAATCAGAAGCTTGTTATAAGACTTCCCCCAGACTTGAAGGGACTGAGTTATAGGGATAGTCAAGAAGATGCACATTAATACAATTGAAAGGATCGAGGGGAAGGAGTGAGAGACATGCGTGACTGTGAGGAAGAAACATTAAGTACAAGACGTCAGTCATCAAGTGCAGATGTTGTTAATGGAAGCCTCTGTACCCTCCCGTCTCCTGCACTTTAGTATGAGATAAGAACTGGTTCTAAAGTTCTAGTGCCTACTCTTAGTCTCAAGTTTAAGTGTGAGGTGAACCAGTATGCAGGAGCCACTTCTCAGGCCAAGCTTCAAGTTAAAGGGTGCAAGGTCATACACATTTGGTATGAAATCCAAGGTGTTGAGACATTATTTGTTAATCCAAGTTGGCAAGTTAAAAAGGTTAGGTCAAATATTTTATTAGCTGAAATGTCTTATGTTTTCTCAAGTTAACGGCATCCACTTCACAGTCCTACTGGTAAGTTATGGGACCCTTCTAACTATTATTGCCTGCATCAGGGTGAGTGAGCCCAAGCTGATCTTCAACCTTCTATGCCACACATTCTGTTCTTCCCTCATAGGCTTAACAAGTGTCTGACTCTAATGGACTCTATACAATTGATCATTGTAACTTATTGTATACATTACTGAAGTTTCTTATATACATTTTTTAAGGAGGAGAGATGCATTTATATCAGTGTCAAAATATCCTTGGATGCCTACACAGTTAATCCGCGCTTATAACTTTTTAGTGTAATTGTATTGTTTATAAATTAGGTAATCAGTAGGATACTCTTGCAGCCTAGTCCGCCAGACCAGCTTTTCCTAAACGATTGAACAGTCTATTGGGACAGTCCCGCATTGGAGAACTTCACCCAACACAGCTTCTGAACGCGTCCAGGAATGCTCAAAGATCCCCTCCTGTAGGATCTCCTTATGTTGGGGAATTTAATATTACCTATCCCTAATTCATCCCTGGACATTTTCCTTTACAGTGAAGCCTTTTCTGTCGGTGTGGCCCGTCGCTTTACCGTCTCTGTCGTCGTTCAGAACAGGTATTGCAGCGATGGACGGTCACAGCAATACCTGTCCTTCGGTAAGGAGAGGTGCGGCCAGGGGAATGACCATGTATTACACAGAAGTGCATCAGTGAGAAATCCCATCAGGGATTACCATGCCCTCAAGCCTCTAAACTTGTTCAGTTGTGTGTGTGTGTGTGTGTGTGTGTGTGTGTGTGTGTGTGTGTGTGTGTGTGTGTGTGTGTGTGTGTGTGTGAGGAAAAGCTGCTCCGATATGTGCAAGCTAATCGGTGAAAGCTGCTTGTCGGGCGATAAACGAAAGTTGAATGTGATCTGGGGATCGAAAGTTGTCTGAAAGTTGAGGAGTGAGAGTCGACTGTGAACCATAAACATTATTTGAACCGAGGATGAGTATTGGAGTGGCACGGACTTTGAACATTTACATTAACCAAGAAACAGAAAGGAAAGTGACCACCGAAAACACATTGACCCGGGAAAACGAACATCCATGAAATATTACCAAAGGAGGAGAAACCTTATTTTAGGCGGAGTTGAATTAGAATTTTTACATTTTGGTGACCAAAAAAAATGAAAAACGCGAGTGGGCAAGAGTTGAAAGTGTGTCGGTGTTGCCCTCACTATGGCGTAGATTTTTTCACGCCTGTCTGCCCTGTTTGTCTCCTTGTAAACCAGTTTTGACGACATACATTGTATATTATATTGACATGTGAGGGGGGCGAGGCTGTTGTGGTTGGTGGCCTGACCCGCCCCACCCGGGAGCAGCTGGGGGCGGACCTGGGAGCCCAGGATGTTGTGGAGAGACTTAGAGAGTTCTTGGCAAGTGGCTGGGGGGGGGGAACCCCCTTGGAAGCTGGAGGAGGAGAGGACAGGTGGGGGGAAGTTGGGGAAGAGTGACTTGGAGAGGATGAGGGATGCAGGTGGGATGATGGAGACAAGGCTGGGTGGAAACTATGGGCGGCTGGAATGTTTCTGGGTGGAAACAGGGGACAGGTTCGCAGGTTGGCTGGGTTATGTATGAGAACTAGTGTAGCGGAGTAGTATAAGACAGGAGTGACCTATCGTGACCTCCCTGCGACACATAAGTAAAATAGTTCAATTTAATTAATTATACAATAATTTAGTCCGATGTTATAATGGGCCTTAAATTACTATCATTAATACCAGACCCATATGGGAAAGAGAGCGCTACTAGGGTCATAGTGAACCAGTTCTGGCGCATGCTGCCCTTCACACATCATAACTAAGTGGATCAGCACCGGAGGAACCACATGTCCACCACACTAATGTCTGTCTCTTCCCTAACTACTAAACCATCATAAATGGTAAGCTTTGACGAATAAAACTTCTGAAATTGAATATTAATTATAAATCCTTTTTGGACATTTTGTTATTGTTGGATTGACTGGACGTGGAGGCGGGCTGATGGCACTGACCCCTATGTGTCCATTGACCCCGTAGTCAGTCGTAATAGGTCAGTGATCTGGATTAAGCAGCAATACAGCATTGACCCCGGAGTGGTCCCAATAAGTCAGTGACACCGTGGGAACGCCACCTGGTGTAAGCAAACCGGTCTATTTCACGCGTCCTTCATCTCAAATATATACTTCTTAGCTTCCACTTTTAAAAACCGTTTAAAACTTTGTAAAATCACTTTTGTTGGTGTTTTTTTGGGCAAGTGATATTGATGTGTTTGGTGTTATAGGTGATATGGAGGCAACACTCGAGCAAGGAGGAGGTGGACACAACTCACCAGGAGCTTCATGGTGGGAGATGATGTGCTCTCCACGACGCCCCACGCCTTATATACCTTCACTCCCGCTCGACTCGAGTTTTTGCTGGCCGGGTCTCAGCCCCTCCCTGGGGATCGCCACGCCCCTCCGGGTCTAACCTGCCCCCCCCCACCCCCCTCAACCTCTCCTCAACACCCCAACTACGTCGGTGACCTTGCTATAGCAACCCCTAAGAAAGGCCGCAACAACCAGGTGATCCACACCGACCAGCCTCCCACACCTGCTACCCCACACCCTCAATACCTGCACATTTGGTTCATGGGTCAGTAATGGGTCTAATATTGAAGTGGGGGAATTATAGAGGGCGTTAATGTGGGTTAACTGCAGTAGTTCTGGCTAAGAGAGGCACTCAAGAGTAGTTCTGGCTGAGAGAGGTACTCAAGAGTAGTTCTGGCTGAGAGAGGTACTCAAGAGTAGTTCTGGCTGAGAGAGGTACTCAAGAGTAGTTCTGGCTGAGAGAGGTACTCAAGAGTAGTTCTGGCTGAGAGAGGTACTCAAGAGTAGTTCTGGCTGAGAGAGGTACTCAAGAGTAGTTCTGGCTGAGAGAGGTACTCAAGAGTAGTTCTAGCTGAGAGAGGTACTCAAGAGTAGTTCTGGCTGAGAGAGGTACTCAAGAGTAGTTCTGGCTGAGAGAGGTACTCAAGAGTAGTTCTGGCTGAGAGAGGTACTCAAGAGTAGTTCTGGCTGAGAGAGGTACTCAAGAGTAGTTCTGGCTGAGAGAGGTACTCAAGAGTAGTTCTGGCTGAGAGAGGTACTCAAGAGTAGTTCTGGCTGAGAGAGGTACTCAAGAGTAGTTCTGGCTGAGAGAGGTACTCAAGAGTAGTTCTGGCTGAGAGAGGTACTCAAGAGTAGTTCTGGCTGAGAGAGGTACTCAAGAGTAGTTCTGGCTGAGAGAGGTACTCAAGAGTAGTTCTGGCTGAGAGAGGTACTCAAGAGTAGTTCTGGCTGAGAGAGGTACTCAAGAGTAGTTCTGGCTGAGAGAGGTACTCAAGAGTAGTTCTGGCTGAGAGAGGTACTCAAGAGTAGTTCTGGCTGAGAGAGGTACTCAAGAGTAGTTCTGGCTGAGAGAGGTACTCAAGAGTAGTTCTGGCTGAGAGAGGTACTCAAGAGTAGTTCTGGCTGAGAGAGGTACTCAAGAGTAGTTCTGGCTGAGAGAGGTACTCAAGAGTAGTTCTGGCTGAGAGAGGTACTCAAGAGTAGTTCTGGCTGAGGTACTGGTCTTAAACTACTGCTCAATCACTGAGGGTGACACTTTGACATGTTAGATGCCTCTAAAGAGCAATATTAATTGCCACTGTGGAACTATGATATATGGTATTGTCAGGCAATAGTAGATATCACTATGAGGCCATAGTAGAATTCACTGAGGCCATAGTAGATATCACTATGAGGCCATAGTAGATATCACTATGAGGCCATAGTAGATATCACTATGAGGCCATAGTAGATATCACTATGAGGCCATAGTAGATATCACTATGAGGCCATAGTAGATATCACTATGAGGCCATAGTAGATATCACTATGAGGCCATAGTAGATATCACTGAGCCCATAGTTGATATCACTATGAGGCCATAGTAGATATCACTATGAGGCCATAGTAGATATCACTATGAGGCCATAGTAGATATCACTGAGCCCATAGTTGATATCACTATGAGGCCATAGTAGATATCACTGAGCCCATAGTTGATATCACTATGAGGCCATAGTAGATATCACTATGAGGCCATAGTAGATATCACTATGAGGCCATAGTAGATATCACTATGAGGCCATAGTAGATATCACTGAGGCCATAGTAGATATCACTGAGCCCATAATAGATATCACTATGAGGCCATAGTAGATATCACTGAGGCCATAGCAGATATCACTGAGGCCATAGTAGATATCACTGAGCCCATAGTTGATATCACTATGAGGCCATAGTAGATATCACTATGAGGCCATAGTAGATATCACTATGAGGCCATAGTAGATATCACTGAGGCCATAGCAGATATCACTATGAGGCCATAGAAGATATCATTATGAGGCCATAGTAGATATCACTGAGGCCATAGTAGATATCACTATGAGGCCATAGTAGATATCATTGAGGCCATAGTAGATATCACTGAGGCCATAGTAGATATCACTATGATGTCATAGTAGATATCACTGTGATACCATTGTAGATATCACTGAGGCCATAGTAGATATCACTGAGGCCATAGAAGATAGCATTATGAGGCCATAGTAGATATCACTATGATGTCTTAGTAGATATCACTGTGATACCATTGTAGATATCACTGAGGCCATAGTAGATATCACTATGATGTCATAGTAGATATCACTGTGATACCATTGTAGATATCACTGAGGCCATAGTAGATATCACTGAGGCCATAGAGATAGCCATAGTAGATATCACTATGAGGCTTATAGTATCACTGTGATACCATTGTAGATCACTGAGGCCATAGTAGATATCACTATGATGTCATAGTAGATATCACTGTGATACCATTGTAGATATCACTGAGGCCATAGTAGATATCACTATGAGGCCATAGTAGATATCACTGTGAGGCCATAGTAGATATCACTGAGGCCATGGTAGATATCACTGAGGCCATGGTAGATAACACTGTGAGGCCATAGTAGATATCACTTTGAGGTCATAGTAGATATCACTGTGATACCATAGTAGATATCACTATGTCATATGAGTAGATATCACTGAGGCCATGGTATACCATAGTAGATATCACTGAGGCCATAGTAGATATCACTGATGATAGTAGATATCCATACCATTGTAGATATCACTGAGGCCATAGTAGATATCACTTTGAGGTCATAGTAGATATCACTATGAGACCATAGTAGATATCACTATGAGACCATAGTAGATATCACTGAGGCCATAGTAGATATCACTGAGGCCATAGTAGATATCACTGAGGCCATAATATCACTGAGATATCACTGAGGCCATAGTAGATATCACTTTGAGGTCATAGTAGATATCACTGAGTAGATATCACATGAGCATAGATATCACTATGAGACCATAGTAGATATCACTGAGGCCAAAGTAGATATCACTGAGGCCATAGTAGATATCACTATGAGGCCATAGTAGATATCACTGAGGCCATAGTAGATATCACTATGAGGCCATAGTAGATATCACTGAGGCCATAGTAGATGGCATTGCACTATCATAGTAGATAGTACGGAACGACAAATGTAGATTTCACTGTTAATCCATGGTAGATAGTACAGCACTTTGATGGTCAATAGGAGAGTACTCCCATGGTAGATAGTTCTGTACGTCCATGGTAGATAGTTCTGTACGTCCATGGTAGATAGTTCTGTACGTCCATGGTAGATAGTTCTGTACGTCCATGGTAGATAGTTCTGTACGTCCATGGTAGATTTTTCTGTACGTCCATGGTAGATGGTTCTGTACGTCCATAGTAGATGGTTCTGTACGTCCATGGTAGATGGTACTGTACGTCCATGGTAGATGGTACTGTACGTCCATGGTAGATGGTACTGTGCGTCCATGGTAGATGGTTCTGTACGTCCATAGTAGATGGTTCTGTACGTCCATGGTAGATGGTACTGTACGTCCATGGTAGATGGTACTGTACGTCCATGGTAGATGGTTCTGTACGTCCATGGTAGATGGTACTGTACGTCCATGGTAGATGGTTCTGTACGTCCATGGTAGATGGTTCTGTACGTCCATGGTAGATGGTTCTGTACGTCCATGGTAGATGGTTCTGTACGTCCATGGTAGATGGTACTGTACGTCTGGGTTATATGATACTGTGATGCAATCGTTGACAGTACCATGGAACCATTGTTATTTGTGCCGTGATATATTACATTATGGGGGTCATGATGGGTCTTGGACCATGGTAGTGACACTGGTGGCCAGGTTAGAGACCTTCGAGGCCGCCATAGATAACCATTAATCGTGGCCATGGTAAGAGTGGTACCTTGGGACAGCCGCTGGCAACAGTGGTACGGTCTGTGATACTGTGCGACCATGATTGGCATCTCTTTGGGGACCATGGTAGATTACGCTGAGACCATGATAGGTGTTAGAGTGAGGGCCATAACAGTACATAGCACTCAAAGTCCACGCTATATAGTGTTTTGGGGGTGGCCAGGGTGCATGAAATAGGTGGGTGTAAGGCCATGGTAGGTGGGAGGCTCGGCTCAGTGAGTGTGGTCACCAGGGTGCCAGAGATGGCACCAGGGTGCCGGGAGGGTGCGGAAGTGTAGGGTGACTCTCAGTGTTGGTGAAACAGACGGCAGCCGTAGTGTGAGGATGGTCCAAGGTCGTGACGGGACCGCTTCCTGGGGTCACTAGGTTCACCCCCGGCATACACCACCTGTGTGTGTGTGTGTGTGTGTGTGTGTGTGTGTGTGTGTGTGTGTGTGTGTGTGTGTGTGTGTGTGTGTGTGTGTGTGTGTGTGTGTGTGGTGCCACCTGTGTGCAGGCAGGACGCCGCACACGGCAGTGTATCCTTGTTAAGTACTTTCTGAAGTCTGTCTTAAAGAGATACAAGGCAGCTTTCCATGGAATATGAACGAGGGTCTCGTGCATGGGGAAAGCGAAAGCACTGGAGGGAAAGCTCTTGGACTAAAGTAGTCGTGTGAAAGCACTCGGTGGGAAACACTTGGGGGAAAATCACTAAAGGGAAAGCACTCTGGGAATGCACTCGGGGAAAAGCACTTGGTTTGCACATACCAATATTTGTTGTCTTGATGTTTCTGTACAAATGTATAGTCCTCAGTCTCAGTCTGGAATAAACATTTTCCTTCAAACACAACAATGGCATCTTGCTCGAGGTGGAATTTTGTTTATACTACAATGGGTGTGAGTGGAAGATGCTTGTGTGTTTGTTTGCCGGGAGATGAAGCAAGGAGATCTGATACAGTTATCTCTTGGATCCTGAAGGAGGTCGCAGAGG